TGTTTATCTATCTATCTATCTATCTATCTATCTGTTTGGTCGAGGTGACCGTCATTTTCCTAGATCACTCAGCCGCACTGAATATTGGCAAATGGTATGCGGAACACAACAGTGACATATTGGGCAATATTCCGAAGATATTTCGCTGTCACATCAGGCTCTTATAACAGATTTGAATAGTACACAGAGATAAAAAGAAAACTATCGTGCCAGAAGTTACTACAGCAATGGCAAAGCAACTCCGCTTTTCGTCGGTACTGCCGTAGTGGTCGGCAGAACAAGTCTTTGAAAAATACATTTTACTACGCTACTTTTTATTGCAATATGTAGTAATCCGAAGTAAAATCGGAGTATCGTACAAAACTGTGCTGTCGAGTTCCACTTTCCAGACTGCTACGGGAAAAGCCCACTTTATTTTTAGATTGGGAATGCGGAGTTCTTTCGCTTATTATCACTATGTCCATATGTGATGACCAACCAGATAGAACAATACTTTCTGTCCTAGGATGATTTCACTCGTCCACGATCTCTTTGAATGAATTGGTATTGTTGAAAACACAGCTTTCATCTACAGATGATGTTGATGAGAGACAGAGGCTATCTCTTGTTTCGATCTGTAAGGTGACTCATGGTCTTATAGAAGCTGTAATCATAAGCTTCTAGAGAGTGATGGGTCTATACCAGCTGTTTCTTGTTGAGTTGTGTCGTGAGGACTTGACAGCCTTCATTCAAACACTCTGAAGTTAGCTGGCTGACTCTCCCACTGCATTCTTCGCCACGCTAGTCACTTTGGGCCGTAGGTTTATGTGAGTAAAGTGGAGAGGCTACCACCATGGAAACGTGGAAAGGGAAAAGAATACCGATTGGCCAGTCTAGTCTGTAACGTTTCATTGGACAGCTCGTGACTCCATCTCACCCACTGGCTTGGATGGGCGGCAACGGATAATTGTACATTTTCATTTTTATGTCTGTTTTTTGCTCGCCAACGGGTGTGCCGCTCGACTCTGTCTTGGCTAACGTTCAGCGGGCCTGTGAGGATGTAGCTTCCAGGCCCCGTGAACGGTAATGAAATGGATCCTGCAACACTAACCCAGGAAATCCGCACTAAGAAACTTTTCTCCCTAATAGAAGGTAAGTTGCTCAAAGCTGAAAATATACAGCTGACTTTTAGACAGCGAATCTGAGTTAAGCCAAGACGAAGAGGCAGATGTGGTAACGGAAGACAGGGCATTCGACTTTGACGAAGTGGATGAGAAGTCCTTGGCAGTCCAACCCACAGCCGCCAACAAAACCCCACAACACAGGTGAGCAATCCTACGTGTGTGAAAAATACATGTCGGCGGATTATATCGATTGTGACTGAACTACAAACGGCATGCCATCGGTTTTGTTGCCTGGTAAATTCATCGATTTGTCCAATCACTCTCCGTCTAAAAAAGCTTACAACAACCACATCAGAGACATTTTCTCGGTTCGCTTTATTCAGTAATTGTCGCTGTTTGGTTTGCCAGTCTCCATTATGCTGCAGTTCTCTGTAAGAAAGCTACACCGAAGTACGGCCACCCTCATAAAAGAAACACTTAACATGATTGTTTGATTTGGAATCTTTTGTGGTCATGGTACTCCCGCTATAACAAACTTCTTTTGAAAACATCAAAATATACATCTTTAGGAGCATTCTCGTGGAACAGGATAGCTGATCACAAAAAGACTTTATTTGACTGTTCTTTGAGGTGTCGTAGCACTCCACTTTGTCAAAAACTGAGCGTCTTTTGTTACCACTCATCAGCGACTTTGGTGGTGAATTGCAGAGCTAATTTGTGTCTCTAGCCTCCGGTTAATTCAAATGTTATGTTTTGGATTTCGTGCTAAGAATCTTTTTGCGGTCTGGTTACCAACCTCACATTCTGCCCACTTCAGAAGTAATTCATCTATAAAGCTGCATTGATTGCACTCCGCAAACAACTTACTTTGGTGAGGATTTTGCAAGGCTTCCGATGTTGAAAGTTGTTATGTAAAGTTTGAAAGCTCTGTGATTCCCCAGTATATGATGAAATCCAAGAAAAAGCCAACTCCTGGGAAAGACCTCGGCAGGTGTTCCTCTTCTCATTTTTTCGGTATGTGATTGTATACTACAATTTTAAGCCGACTGTATCTCTCCGGTGCTCTCCATTCCTGCGACCACCACAGTCAGTGAGTGAAAAGCTCGATTGCGTGGGTTGTGTGGATAGACTGAAGAGTAATGCAGGACATGTACAAAATTATCGGAGAGTAAGATATGGCGCCATTGTACTATGATCCAGGCTAACCTCTTCTCTGGGCAGACTTCACCGATGAATATTATACTTGATCCATCAGGCAGGTGTGTGGCGACTCCGCCACAAAGTTAAGGTGCATAAGCCTGATGCAGAGCGAGCGCCCTTGGTGGGCGGAGCATCTGCCTGCTGGGAAGGAGGTCGGCGGTTCATGTCCTGTGTGCTTGGACTCCTCGGTTCAAAATCTATCAAGTCCCCTTCCGTCCATGTAATGAGCGTAGTGTCGACGAAATTGACTCAGCGAGGATCCTCACGACTGTGGTAAATAAAGCCACAAGACCACCTAGGAGACTGAGCAAGGTAAATATTCATAGTCAGCGAGGTGGGCCCCACTAAGCTAAGCATAAGTGCTCTCTTTTTCGGATGTAGGGTGTTTTCATAGCGGTGAACAATCACTAACAGATTAGTTAATACCGTTTACTCCAATATCCGGTGTGCATTTTCGATGATAAAACCTTCACGCTAACAACAATTTAGAGGTAAATAAATATTTTGAATAAAGTCTTGGAAAAGGAGGGAAGAAAGAAAGAACGGTGGAAATTGATATCATGAGGCCCCCTAGAAACTCTAGATGTTTGTTTGTTTTACACAAAATGTACATACCTGCAGTTCGAGCCTAGCAAAACCACTAGGATATTTCCATGAGGAAATGAGGTCATTCTTTTAAAGAAACGCACAACCTTTGGTGCTTGACACAATAGAATGTGCACATCAGCATGATTTCAAAGAGAAGCTAATGTCAGAGGAGAAGAAAATACTTTCTCTCTGAGACTGACAGTGTGCTTTGGTATGGCAGAAATCAAAATAAGATGAAGCGACATACTGCAACGCGTTGCCGTGCTAACAACAAAAGCCTGATCATTTAGGTTTGAAAATGAACTGTCCAATTCCGTAAACAAGCCGTTGACGAGCTTATGGGTTCCTAGCCTAGCATGGTTCTTACAGCCGAATATGACGAGATTTCACATTGCCCATTTAAATGCCGAGAAAACTGTTGTATCCATGTGGATGAAACGCAACATAAAGCGCCCCAATAAATAAATAAATGGATAATGAAAAGATCATCTATTAATCGTACTCATTCCCGCCTCAGTTTTCATAACCCCAGCTTCCTGAAATTCGTTGAGGCACTTACGTGATTTATAAACCACGCGGGAGGACACATTAAAACAATTCAGGGATATCTTTGTTCTCGATTCTATCATATCCATGTTTGTCTCAACAATGGCCTAATTTGAAGTAAATGAGTCCTGCTTGTAAGAGTCCTGTGTCTTCTCAACTTACCACAACTTAGCGTACTTCATTGTCATCTTGGTGGCTTGCACAAGAGTTTGTGTCATAGATTCATTGCAGTATTTACTGTAAAGTATAAAGGTATTTGGTTGATCTTCAAATTAGGAGTCTGGATACACATAGCCCGCACAAAAAGGCAAGTCCCGAGACAGACTCGAACCACCGACCTGGTGTTCACCGAATAGGTGTTATTCTAAGTGAACTGCCGAGGTCGGTCGCTCTCCAACATGACCATACATCTGGGATTCGTACCTGATCTCCTAATGGGCTGGCAAATACCATATGTCTGTTCCCTATAAATTGAATTACTAGGCGCCTCGAACTAGGTCCAGTGGTGTCTAACGTGATTGTTATGGGTTTTTAGCGCCCTTTTTCTCCTACCACAAAAGCTCTTACGTACACAAGCCTGTAAAGTGTGTTTAGTAGATCATTTGGTGTGAAGCAGGGTCAAGAAGAACCTAGAATCTAGAAGAAACTAGAGATTCAGCTGGGTTCTAGGTGAGTCTCTCATCACAATCAAAGTGATGTGGAAACGAGTGTATTTGTCGAAAACTGGGAACTTCAATATCCGGGTTCCCTGACCAACGAAACACCACGTACCTCTCATGAAAACTGACTGTTATCCAAATGAAAACTTCTGTCACGAAACGCACAATTGAAAGCAATACTCAGGGCATTTTATTACAATACTTCAATGATTATGGGTCGTTGGTCAGTTCTCAAGCTGAAAGTTGTGAGCTTCGATAAAGAAGTGTGAAGTTTTCCTACGTGATATTCTTCTCGTAACTGAACCAGCTAAACTCAGTTGAGCTGTATTCACGCGTATGCTTTTTGAAAGCAGTTGGATTTATGTGAGAGCTGAATTTTAGTGTGTAGTGAGTACAGTTAGGGTTAGGTGATGCTTCAGATGAGCATGGCCTCGTGGTTTTACTTCTCAGACCGTAAAACATACAGAGCGTACGATCAAAGCAGTAGAACAACACTTTTCACTCACTCCACACCATGGTTTTTGATGCACTCCGTGTCCCCTCTTATTCTATGGGTCAAATCCACACACATATTTTCCGAGTTTGTGATTGGCTGTCAGATCACACGGATGGCTGATCCCCACAAAATTTTATAAGGCTTTCGCCAGTCATCGGGTAAGAGTCACTATCTACAAAGTGTTTGGAAAGCGAAGGGTTTGAAAGGCAAAACAGATCATTCTGTCTTGTGGGAGCTTGAAAAATCAGTTAACTGCTTAATGTTTTTCTTAACCCGACTTTACATATAAAGCTAGCTGAAAAGCTCTTTAGCGTGAGATCAAGTGAATATTAGCTGAAGATGTCGTTCACAACAATGCTTAACTGATTGTGCCAAAAAAGGTTGTTTCGTGCTTTTGTTTCGAATAATATTCAAGGTAGTCGAGTGTTTTCTTGATGTGATACTACTCATAAGATGAACGAAAATTCTAGACCACCGGTTTGGGCCTTCTTGGAAATAATCAGCTGAACCTAGTATTTGGCTGTTCATCAGACTAAATTCACGCCTGAACACAATGTTTAGCGGATGTGGACAGACAAATTTTCAGACAGTCATTATCATTAAAGACAACAACATCAGTGCTGATACTGATGCTTCACTGCCGCAAATTACGTTGATGTCGTCGAGAAGACTCTGAAGATCACAGTAAACGAGGGATTCGGCTGAATCTCCGTTCAACCCCCTTGTTATCACAGACCGGATTTTCAAATAGCTGTTCTTTTCCACACACCCTTTTGTAAGTTCTCTCTAAACTAATGTGCTACTTAAGGGCCACCTCATATCTTGATCACAACTTGCCGTTTTCATTCTACGTTCGGTATAAAATGATCTTATGCAGTTCCCAGTGACTGGTTCTGTCTATTGCGCTCAGCATCCGAGTCACCTGTACCGCTCTATCACGTCAGTCAAGGTAATTTTGTGAATTTTTCCAAAAGAACTTCTTTTGCCTGTGATCACGTAGAGCAGGTTTCCATCAAAATCCCACGAATAACGAGTTTTTTCTATTACGCAGAGGTACTAAAAGCAGTCAGCTATACAAAGTACTAGAGTTCACCTTGATCTTGAACAATATATTTAACATTCGCTGTCGAATCTAGGTCCACCTCCATGAAACAGGGACCTGTAAAGTAACTCGTTCAGACTACTACCACCAGCAGACAGCGTGGTAGTTTGCAAAGACAATATCAGACATTTGTTTTTGCTGATGTAGGTCACAATACGTAGGGACCATTCACACTGGATTAGAATGGCATGCACCGCACAGTCTGGATAGGATAACACCTTATCCAGGGTCTAGATGAAATCTTGTGTCAATCGCAACTATGCCGCTTCAAACTTATTCCTTTCCTCTTCCGGTGAAATGGTCCACAGGTGTAGCAACTCACGGGAAATGTAACATACTTTCCGCTAATATTTACAGATGTCAAAGCACTGTTAAGGGTAAAACGAGCAGCAATACGACCCTACTAAACGTCGGCGCAGACAGATTTGTTAGTGAATTCACTGAGACAGATCTTTATCAAGGAAGTCACATGAAGTTTTATCCACATCTTGCCTTTCCGGTGCCATATTCCGTGTTACAGGATGTCGCTCAACCGTTCAACCACCGTTAAAGATTCTGCCTTCTAAGACTGAAGGATGCAAAGTTTGTTCCCCAACTTGGGGGTGGTGATTTCATTTCAGGGTACAAATACATGGTCCCGTAGATTGCTTCTTTTTGATCGTGTATAATGCTGCGAACGTCACGCGTGACGCTTGGATACTCTCAATCACGTTGATTCTTTCTAAGTCCGTTTGTCCTTCAATCTCTTTAGGATCCGGCTAACAGGTTCCACTGGTTAACGCTGTCCTTATGAAAAAAACAGAGCATCTTTCGAGTTTTTTATTTAACTTGATGGCAAATGGTGATGAGAGGTGGTTAAATTGATCAACTGCGGTTGTTTTATTTTGAAACGTCATCGGCTTTAAAAGGTTGACGTAAATGAGGATGTACTTTACTAGACACGAAACTTGAACATGGCAATTATGTGCTACACCGAATACTTTTTGTCTTGCCAAGGATAGTTTTTATTGCCACCCCGGTATAATGAGCAACCTTGAAGACGAAAAATACTAAAAGTGCATAAGGTACTCGTCAATTAACTGGGGTTTTATGCAACGAGTCACGAGGAAAAACGAGTAGGAAATGAAAGCTATTCAGCCGAGAACTTGGATAATAGCGGAACGCCCAACAGTGGCTTCATGGCTAAATCACATGACCAAGAAAAAAGGGTTACGTTGATAGTTATAGACACACATCATGGCTGTTGCTTATGCGAAAAAGGCAGTAACTATAGCCACTTAGTGGTAAAAGTAGAACTTTACCCATTATGATATTCTAGTGTAGGAATTCCCAACCTACTTCAAATCGTGCACTTTTTCAGTATACTGCGGAACGTCTTCTCCTCGGTATATTCTACTGACCTCAAACATAAATATTTCAAGTGGAACACTTAAAACGATAAAGCATGTGTCAGTTTCAACCTCAGACTCACTTCGTTTTTGTTTCACTCTGTAACCGACTCATAAAATCTGATACAAACAAGAATGAAGTGCACGGATTGCCTCCGCCAATTTGAGGGTGAGATGACAAGAGACGAATTCACCAATTTTGTTATTTAAAACCCAAGCCAAATGAACATGGTGGTATGCGAACAAATGGAACTGAAACTTGTTGGGGGTGGTAAAATAGCCAGGACCCCTGCACCACTCATATGCTGTTTACTGGATATTCTTAGTTGAGTTGAAATAACACGTTTTTGAATAATCGTACTCACCTGCGTCTCACTAGTCGAATATGAAGTAGGAACTGAGGTTAAAACACTGAAAGCATGATCTCACAGTTGCTATAAAACAGGGGATATGTGATTGATGGACCAAGACTACAATAAGGCTTTTACACGTCTCTTTTTGGTGATACGATGAGAGGAGGCGCGTGTTTGAGTTTCGAACGCCTCAGCTGCCTGTACAAATCTCTTTTGAACGTCAACATCAGACTGGAGATGACATTCGTGGTGGCTCTAAATAATGCCCCCGTTATTTCTGGCAGCTTTTCCGGCACTAGATGGACAGAGGAGACTCTGTGACCAAGTCCTTCTGAAGTCCTTTGATAATTGTGTTTAGTAAAACCCAGCTATTGTAGGTAAATAATCCGCCCTGAAGACTGGAAATGGAGTTCCAAAAAGAAATCCAACCTAGTCTTTGTGAAGCCGTTTGAAGAGTTCACTCGTAACATACGAGTTAACAGATGTACACCAAGATAGCCCGAAAAAAGTTAGTCTTTTAGATTTGTCTGAAAAGTGGACGACTTGTGAATTGCCTTTGCAAAATCGTAACAAGATGGTTTCCTTTAAAGATTCTTCAAGAAATTTCGAACAAGGCTCCACTAGCTGGATCAGGCTTGATAGGTGAACTTAGGCAAGCCCCGAATCAAATCTGTTTCTAGTCTGAGTCTAACATAAACTCCAGTAGACTTATCCAAGCAGCCGGCTGGTTAAAGCAGTCCTTTTTCAGGATCTAATCCGGTGCCATCAAAAAGATTGCGCATTGAGTTTCGCTTCATCTACCAAACAGGGAACAATACTGTAAAACTCAGGGCCAGCGTGTAGTCAGTTCAACTTGGGACTACATTTCTAGCAGAGTAACCACGCTTAACGGCGATCTCAGCACAACTCAGTCAACCACACCTTGGACTTTTGATTGCACAGTTTTGTCATGGCAGTTCCGTGAACGTCTGTCGCAATAGGTTACCAGATGTGGATAAAGATGCTTTATTGCAAACACTACTTAAAGAGGTGCTTTAAGGCCAAAACAATTTTAAGTAATTTATTTGTCGCATCTTGAGATGGCCATTGCCTCACAGAAGACATTTCCTGAAAAGATTCTCCAGAACAAAAGTGGGTTATGAACAACTACCCTGAAATATTTATGAGGGTTCGTCCTGCAATTGATGTCATTGTGAGTCAACACACTGATGATCAACCGCTTGTCGCAGAACGGTTCAGTTTTCGACTACTAACTGGGAGGTTACAGGTTCGAAACCACGAAATTTCTTAAGATACGTAATATTGATGATTTCCGATAGGAAAAAGCCCTTTTATAGTGCTTCCCAGTTTTTTCAACACAGATTGGCTTCACTTACTGGACGATAGCTAGATTGGAAATCCCACGAACTTCTTACACTACCAGCAGTTATAATGGTGCTATTCAGTCCTGTACCAATTCACTTCTATGCATTGTTGTTTGTAGCTCAGATGGTGACCATATCTGCCAAACTTATGAGGTTCTGATAAATCCGCTTTCCCAAATTTCTACCTGAATATTTTCCAAAAGTCCTACAAAAGCATGTGTTTTACTCATTTTTCCAGAAGTACTGGCACTCTTTTGTTCAAAAAATACGAACGGCTGGGCAAAATCGGAGAAGGAGCCTATGGTATTGTATTCAAGTGCAGAGATATCACTACAGGACGTCTTGTCGCCATCAAACAGTTCACGGCAACTGAAGATGACCCTGTTATACGCAAGATTGCAATGAGAGAAATAAGAATGCTAAAGGTAAGTCATTTCGCCCTGGCCTTGGTGAATGCTTGTTCTATAAACTAATCTTCATCTCGAAACAGAACAACGATCCCCTACAGCCTAAACTACAGGGCTAGGATCTTAATGGAAGGCATATGCGTCCGCCATTGAGGAGACTGTTGAAAGCTTGGGTTTGTTCAGTAAGCTGGGCGATCAGGCTGGAAACGCTTCACTACTAATCAAGGTGACATCATCAGCACACCCTTTTAAAGCGGAGCGCAGCTAAACGCCAGGGGGTTGTGCATCCATTTGTGGTGCACTTTTATTAGTTATTAGGCTGGAGGCTGGAGCAGACCCTCGATTATGATTGACCGTTTACCTGCTACCGGAGTCAGCTTCAGCACCAGTTACTTTGAGTCCTTCGGCAACTGTTCACTTTCCTGGTCTTGATCCTGGTCTCATAAATTGTAACACATAAACCACCTGTCAGCGTGCAACCGGCAGCAAAATGTCACGCTGCGCGCACTGAGGAGGCCACCGCAACATTGGCAACTAAATTGCCGAGCTCGGTAAATGCCACCCCGGACAGCTATCATAGATTTCGCCTTGTCATACAGTGAACAGTGATCCACATTTTCAAGCAGCGCAAGATTTCAAGTAATTTTTCAGGAAAAAATGGACGAATAAAAATCAGAGAAGGAAAACGTTTACTCCCATCGTAGAATCCCAAAGGACATTGTCTGTTACTTGAGTTATCTGAGTTATACGATTCGGAACAAATTTGTAGCAAGACCTGACTGGCTAGAATTGCTGTCCACTAAATTTATGAGGATGTACTTGAATGGCTGACTGTTGTGTTTCTTGCTTGCCAACTACTTCATTATTCCGTTTGTCGGACGCTTCTTTATAAGCTTGCACACCAGCCCTCCAGGGCGGTCGCGTTGCTGTGATCATCGATAACGCAGAAAAAAATGAATTCTGAGGAGTCGTGGAAGGATACAGCAGCTTTTTTAAGGAAATAAGGTCTCCCAGTTGATTTGAACAGGGCGTTAAGAAAAACAAGCAAAGTAGCTTTTTGTCTTTCCAGAATCTACAGGTGAATAAAATGTTCTACTGGAGTGCAACATAAACAAACGTGAGGAGTTTACCTTGTCCCTCGCCGTCCGATGTAAAATATCACGTGATTGTCTTGTATACGAATTTAGTTGTTTTACGCTTAGTTTTTGGCCACAAAATGTTGGTTGGGGTTGGTAGAAATGGGTTCTTCACAGCAGCACCATCACTTGCTCATAGCTGATTCACTAGAAGCAAAACCTGACAAAATTAGTAACCATAAAATGAGATCATCAGGAACGCGGATGGTAAGTTTGACAAGACTTGCGCGAGATTCTACATACTTGCCAAAATAATACAGCTTCAGTAATGGCATGTGGTTGCAAATCAGACGAATATAAACGCGTTTTTTTGCGTAGGATGAAATTTCATAGGCGTTTTTCAAACAATTTTTGGTGAGGGTGGTTTTACTGGTTTGAAGAATGTCTGCCATTCATTTGGATAGTTCGTTGATGGTGGGGTGGACGAATAGACGCATTGGATTTGTGATATGAGATGCATAGGAATCGACCAGTTCTAGGATAGTGATCCTAGCCTAGGAGATAGAAGAATTCCCGCTTCACAGAATAGTCACTTCCACTACTATCGAAAGGAAGAAGGCCTACGCTACGGGGGTATTTGTTGGGAAATGCCAACTGACCAGTTACAGACCATTGAACAGGGAAGCAAAACTCTAATTTGCATCTTACTCACAAAAACTGGACATCCATCTTCTCCTGAACGAGTCTTTTTGAACTTTCCTGGAGATTCATTGACTCCAACCATTCCTCGCTCAAATCCAAGCAAATGTTACAAAGCGACTCCACAAATTCCGCAACAGATCTTCCCTTTTCAAAAGACACAAGGCGAAACTCCACGAACAACACATACTGCTCGCGTGCCTCCCCATCAGTAGTATCACCGTTACACTATTAGCATTTTGTCTCATTGTTTATTAGGCAAACCTTTCAAACTTGTCATTTAAAACTGGGCTGATGTTGTAGAATTAATCCGCTCTTTTAAAGGTCCAGGACTCCTTGTTAGGCTTCAGTATAATGATGTCTTCTCCCATCCTGGACTTGATAGGGTATGTTTCTGATGTATCAAAGAGGAGCATAAGTGGTCTCTGAGATCAGCCTGTTTCACTTTGTAACCGTTTACATTCTCAGGAGACTTAGTCCGGAGTTAGCTAGATTTGTTGGGCAGCCTTTGTATCAATGTGGCCGGTTTTTCTGGACAGTATTTTAGAATCTGGCCCTCCTAATTAAGTCAACCTGGATTAATGGTTCTCTCGGACTGCCGCAAAGTCATTTTTGGGTTCAGCATTCCCTGGACGTTTCCGAAAATTTTCTAACACCGATCGTAGCTGGTGAACTCGGTCCGCTACAAAAATAATAGGTCATTAGAAATTCACGTTCCTTGTAAAGCGTACGTATAAATGAGGCGAACAAACCTACAAGTAAGATTGGTTAAACGCATATATTTATAAGAATTTAAAAACTACTCTGCCTTTTTAGACACTCAAGCAAGAGTAGACCATGGACCCTTCTCATTAATGACGTAAGATATCCAGTGGTTCGATGCAGAAAGCAGGGATGTTTAACGATCCAATGACACCATGAAACGGAAACAGCATCTTGTTTATTTCCATCATTGTTAATTTTACGCGCTGCCGTACGGGAAAGATTCATTCGAGAATATGTTCTGCTTCCAAGTAGGAAAACTGAACAACTGCTGGAGAATTTAATAATGGCATTTGAAGTTGTAGGGCATGCCCTCAGAGGATGACGATGAGAACAGATGATTTCAATCCCAGTTTGTTAAGGCAGGTGAACGTGAGGTTGTTACCCGCTGTTGGGGCAACGCCCCAACCAAGCTCATTATTTTATTGCTTTGATGCGACAGCACACATTTCTCCGCTGTCCAACTAGGCTGAATCAATTACCCATTACCGGGTACAGTCACCTCAGTCTGTACCCACTGTTTGCTTGTATGAAGCTGCCGCGAGATTCAGAAGACCGCAATGAACGTAAAACTCCGGTGCATGGGACATAGGTTCTCTTGTTGCGGTGTAGTGGATCAAAAAACCATAAAAAGGTGGACATTTCTACTTTTTGCAACTGGATAATTTTACTGTCCGCAAAAACAGTTGATCCAAATAGTGCTCTCTCGGGGAACCGCTCCCCAGATGACTCAGAACACGGTGTTTTCTCAGTTTATAAACCAGTTCCCAACATTCTTTTGAAAGTTACAGCTGAATAGAGTGACTTTCTAGTTTTAATCTGTTTATATTACCTTAGTTGCAATCGAGTGGCCCTCGGGTCAGATAGGAAGCGTGCAACAACCACCCGTGCTAGCAGAGGCTTAGTTTAATAAACGGAACCGTTTTGAATGTACCAGCATGTAACTCTGAGCTGTTTTCAATAAACAGGTTTGTACCACCAGAGAAACCTTGAGAGCCACGTTCTGATAAACTATATGACCAGGATCCTTCACACAATTAGCACTTGGCCTGTGCGTTGTTTTATTCAGTTGTCCTGCAACACCTCTTTTGTATCCTCCTGAAGACTTGTCTAAGAGATTCTCCTCGTATTCCTCAAGATATAGTTTCACGTACCGAGATGCTGAGGACAAAAGTGCTACTGATGCTCTCCATTTCTGTGGAAACCTATGTTTGATTATCCATTCTGCGTTCCATGTCGGAGATAAACTCCTTCGTCTTTTGACTTTTTCAGCGACTGAAGCATCCCAACTTGGTCAACCTGATTGAAGTTTTTCGAAAGAAAAAGCGTCTAAATCTGGTCTTCCAGTATATTGATAATACACTGCTAAATGAGATGGAACAACGGCCTAGAAGGTAAGTACATGTATGTAAATACTATAAATACTATAAATACTATACTACAAGATATTACCAAACTGTAGCCACAATGAAATCCCAATACGGTGGAGGAAATCCTACAAAATATCGGGAGAAAACGAAGAATATATTCTCTAGTGGATATTCTTCCTTGGATATTGCAAATCCGAGCCGCTTTATAAATTTGGGATAATTTTATGATTGGGTCAAAAACCTACCATCACCGAGTTAAATTTCGTGCTTGTCGAGTTAAACCCATAACCGCCTGAAAGGTTTAATTTCGTCTCGAATCAACGTGGTGTTCACTACTAATCAACTGTCTACTCTCGTTTCGTACAATGCTTGCCTGTGGTCAGCAAAAAATTGGTGGGCAATTTTGCGAGCTCTCTATAGCTCAAGGTGTTCAACATATTCCTGTTCAATTTACCGACTGATTGCACGAGAATTGGATAACAGCTGAACCTAAAACACGCCGAAAACACTGACTCCGGCCTGTTGCTCAATGACAGGAGATGGCCAAATAAGACCGTGATCAATGGAGCAAATCTCGTGGGCCATATAACTGCTATGTATTGAGCATTGCTACAAATCGTTTTTCATAGGGTGACTTAGTGTTCTTTAACTTGCTCTTTGCAAGATACATGCCACGATTTTAGTCTAGAGACAAATAAGACCATTTAATAGTTGCGCCGATTAACTAAGATCACCTGAAGGTCAGCAGATATAAGTACAAATTCACCTAGAAGAGGGCGAAACTGCGGTAACAATCTATGTGAACACACGTTTCAATCCTGGAGATAAATTTTGCTTAGCTATTGGATAACCGCAGAGTTCCAAAAAGATCCAAATGAAAAGTTGTCTGTAAGCAGCTCAAACGTTGTTTAACCCCATACTTTGAATTCAACCGGGAACATTCGGGACAAATCAGTGGATATCTCACGGAGATTTTAACGCACAAGACGAGGCAGATTGTGTTTCAACAGATATATCCAAAATATGGAACGGTTATGCGGAGGACACTTTAGTCATCGTCAAAAACATTTCTGCCCCTCTTGACACACTCCCAGTAACGAAGACCTCGTAAATTTGTGAGCATAATAAATCCTCAGACTTCCAGGCGTGAGAGTATATGGAGAGCTCTGCAAAGTCTTTTGTACACAAAATAGTCTGTCAGGAGTGCTTATTCACTCCATTCATAGGTGATTTCGTGATCTACCAGATAATGGGAGGAAAGCAGAAAGGTCCTCAAAACCCCAGTGTGCAAACAGCTACTGACGAAAACCTTGTCAATCTGCAATATGCAGATGACATCACTCTCATCTTTGGAGAGAAAGGGAAGGCGCATGTGTTTTTGGATGAACTGACCAAGGTCGCCCTTGCGCTTTACGCCCACAAAGCGTAAGGTCACGCGCCTGGACATGCAGTCACTCAACACGACGCTTAAAATCCAGGGTGAGGCACTAGAAGTTGTGGACCGTTTTTGCGTATCTTGGAAGTTGCGTTAGTTCTGACAGATGAATCTACAAGGCTCGGGTAGTGTTTGCTAATTTGGGACACCTATGGCGTCAAAGTGGTATATCCTTGGACCTCAAGGAACGTGTGTATCAGGTTACAGTGCAGGTTGTTTTGTTACATGGCTGTGAGACTCGCCTTTTTGAGAAGCGGAAACGAACCATCTTCAGGTCTTCAACGCCGTTGTTTCAGAACCATATTTAATGTAGGTTTGCGCCGGCCAGTTCATAACAGGGCCGTTAGAAAGTGAACAGTCAATTGTGTGACGGGGGCTTCTACTGAAAAATATGTCCACTCAACTAGCACGCAATTCACGGGTTCGAGATTCCCTGTTTTTTGTGAAATGCCCACTGTTGATGATTTTCAAGAAGAAATAAAGAGATGCACGTGCTTTTCAGCCTTGCAGCTTAGACTGGCTTCACCTACAGGACGAAATTTCCATCCGAAAGAGGTTTCCATTCTCCTATCCAGTGCCCATAAACATAAATAACATACAGACTGTGTTATTATGTACGTTTTACGAGTGCTTGAATGAAAGTTTGTGTTGCTGAAAATCGTTTGCCACCGCCCCATCCTACTCCCTAGTCAACGGCTATGATCCGGTGTTGACAGAGGGGAAAGTAACTGCCAATCACATTTACCAGTCTCACCATGCAGACGGGAACTTCTCTATACTAATTTTTAGCCATGGTAGTGCATATAAACGAAAAAGACGTTTCAGAACGGGTGCATGGCGTCAATGGAATGTGACAAGCCTCTCATCATTACTGTGTTCCCGCGAATATATATATATATATATATATATATATACTTTCTAATTTACTGTCTTTGTGAATGCA